TAAAAAATGTCTTACAATAAATAAAAATGAATTTATATTTAATGTAAAGTCAATACTATACATTGTCAATGACCCACATGATAATATCTCATAAAAAAGTTAATTTTAAATATATTCTTAAGATTAAATATATATTTGTTAAATTTTAAACTTTTAGAATTAAATTTTTATTAAGTGTAATTCTATGATTCACTGATGATATATTAAATATAAACCCAATATAAATTAATTATTGTAATTGGTCCAAAATATTTGTTTTACATTTTTTTATACTTAACTATTTATTTTATTTTAATATTATACAAAAATCTTTTCATATCTTCTTTCAGATGAATCAGATCACATTGGTTGCAAACTAAAAAGGTTTATACTAAAAAAGAAAGTATTATTGTATGTTGGTGGTCCAAGGTGGATAAAACTATATTAATTATGTTATTTTTACTAATTATTTATTTATTTATTTAATTGGTCAAATGCACACCAAGTCCACCACCGTTCATGGTAAGGTAGAAACAGATTGATGATGAAACCACAAGAATTAAACATTACTAATATAATTCAAGTCAAAACACTCCACAATTGCCCATTGCCAAGCACGTATGTTCTAAATAAAGAAAATGGATACTGTTACAAAGGAATTTTTAAATTATAAAATATTTAATATGGTATATAAAATGTTTAAAATTTTTTAATATAGTATATAAATTATGAATTTATTAATCAATATTATATTTGAAGGGTTATTATCAATCACATCATTATTGAGAGTTAATGATGTTAGTGATGAATTATCATATTAATTAACAAAATCATAATTCATATATCACAAAAAAAATTTTAAAATTGATGAAACTAATGAAATATTACTCTCTAATTCACAATAATTTAATACCCTAGTTGTCAACTCTAGTTATTAAAAATTTGAGTCCAATAAAAATATTCACTCGTTTATACCTAGTAAGAGATGAGATTCCTTTGTCTGTTGTATCTGTTGTAAAGACCATGAGATTCCCCTTTCTTTAATATAGCCTTTGATGATTACAACACCAGTAGTACACACACCCCTTCAATAATACATTCATCAAGTTATGTTTTCATTAGGGTTTGCAAATAATTTTGAGTTAATATCAACATTTTAAGCATCTTTATCCAGATTAGATGCGATGAGAGTCTTTTTCCCATCACGTTGAAATGTCATTTTATCACTAGACCTTAACAAATAAATTAACTTTAAAATTGCATGAACAAGCAAATGTTACAGTCTTAATTCAATGTATATATATCACAAACTATTTGTTTCGGTATAATTTGATATATATATATATATAATCAAAATAAAAATCCGCACATAAAAGATTGAACCTGAAATCTCAAAATTAAAAAATTTTATTATCATCTCAGACAATGCATCAAAGGTATCTATATATATTTTTTGGTATAAAAAAGACAACGATTTAAGGATAGGAAAGTTATAAGTATTGAGATTTAAATTTTAAATCTATTAGTTATTATTTTTTTAAAATTGTTATATGAATAAACTAAACTAAACTTTGATTTTAGTACCAATATTTTTACTATACAGATATCGGGTTATTTGTGGTAGTTTGAAAGTTAATTAGATTGAATTAGAAGGCTATATAATATGATTATGGCAAAGTCAAAAGCAAATCTGAACAAAATTAAGTAAGAAATTAAATAAGCCAGACTCAGCTTTGTATAAGTTGAATTTATAATTTTTACTTGATCAGCGCTTTGTTCTGATTATTCTGATAATGGTTTCGAATGACTGATTGTGAAGGCACTGTGTATTGAACAAACGGCACGTTATAGTAGTTAGAAAATTTTTTAAAAACGCCATTTATGGAACTTGCATTGTCTTGTTCTTCTTTTTGTCTTTGGCTTTACATTCACTGAGTTCATGTGGGTTTCCTAAGTCATTAAAAAATTGAGTAATAATTGGTTTTAAATGACTTCTAGTTACCTATAACAAATATGAACAAGATTGAAGTGATAAACAAATAGTTATTTTTGTCTGATTTTTAAATACTTAATTTAGACCAAAAGATTAGGTTCCATCTTTTTCTTTGATTATTACTAACAACAAGCATGCATGGAATAAACGTTATCAGATGTTGGTTAGAAAAATCAGGACATGTTCTAGATCTGTATTTGTTACAATTATTTATACATATCTCAGCATGTTTTATTTGCCATTTGAAATCACTAATTTTTATCTCTTAAATTTGGTAGATGAGCAGAGCAAAGAAAGCATTCATGTTATCAAAACGAAATGGAAAATAAATAAAACCCAAGAAAGTAATTAAGAACTCATTTCATAGTTTCTTGCTATCAAATATTCAAAAAAAAAAAAAAACCCTGTTAATTACCATTAAGCATTTATTTTAAAATCAATTAGCTCGACCTGAATATAAGATTTAACATATGTATAATAAATGATAACACTATTTTAAAAGGTTTTCATAATGTGTATGCGACAATATAAGTTTAACGTGTGATAAATTTAAAATATGTAACAGGCAAAAATAACATGTAAGAACAATATAACAGATCCAACCTAAAATCAATTAATTATAAATGAAAAGGTTCGATTTGAATATAAAATCACAAAAAATCTAAAATTTAATAGATATGAAATAATATTTTAATAATTTCTATATTTCCTTTTGCCACATAATTAGAAATGTTAAAAAATTCAAACATTATTTTTTCTTTTGAATTAACTGAAATAATGTATTATATATATATACTTATGAAAAGTACTTTTGGGAAAGCTTGATTGAGGTACTGTAAAAGTTGTAGCAAACTAAAACATAAGCCAAAAATCAACCGGCTTTAGTTATTTTTATGCTAAAAGCCTAAAAAAGCTCAATCAATTAAAAATCCCCTCGTCCAATTTCCATACATCATAGTTGAATTAGTGGAATGCCAATTCGGGAACGTTCATAATCAGCTTATCTCGTTTAATTCAAAGTAAATTTGTTCTTTCTTCTCTTCCTTACATTTTTGTCTCTCATGTTTATTTTTCTTCACTTTCACTCTTCGACCAGTACATGAAAAGCTTTGCCTGAGTTTGCCGACCTTCTTGATGCTGCCTTTTGTGTGGAATAATAATAATTAATTTGAGACATTTCCCAATAACTAGCAACAGAGTGCGCACTGCTTATTTTGTAAGATTGTTTATGTTAATATGCAAAGCTTTGGTAAACCAAAAGCCAAAAAAAAAAAAAAAAAAGAAATTGCATCAATATTTTCGGTTATTTCCGTCTGTGTTCTAACAAAAATTTTCTAATTAACTTAACCATTTAGCTAAACTAGTTAGACTAAGTACCATGAGCAAAATTTTATGTAAATTCATAGTGTTTATCCTTGGGGATCAACCAGCAGACAGTTTCAACGTCTTCCACATGGAGCGATAATTTCGAGCTAATCTAATCTCTAATTTATTTCTTAATCTTAATTAATCATAATTAAGCATAGGCTTAATCATAAGATTATTTTAATTTCCATGTTAAATATATATATTTTTGGCATACGTAATGCCTGATTATAGAAACTTAACAGCAAATGTTAAACAGAGGAAGCATAAGTTAAGTTCTAAGGCCAGTGATGTCAGTGTGGCTGATAAGAGGTGTTAAAGGAGGGGGCTATGATAGAAATATAATTGTCTTTGCTTAGAGAGAATCAAACCATTTTTAATATATTTAATTTTTAAAAAATAAAAAATGGGGTTTTAAAAGCATCATTAGGGAATAAATTATGTTAGTAAGACAATGACCTAATTGTTAAAGAAGGGGAAGGGAGAGGAAACAAATGGAGGGCTGTTGACAGTATTGTCTTCTTTCTCTCTCGATGGTTTAAGGCTTGGATGTTTAGTGCAGAGATTCCAATGATTTTTGGTGTAGCTGTTGTTATTTCTTTCTCCTCCGGCTAGCCCCATGTAGAGTAGCTAGGGTTGTTTGCGTTAGGAGCTAGGTACATATTAGGGTAAGTTCTAGATGGTTAGTATAGGTTGGCCGAGCTGATTGAAACATTAATGTAATTATTTATTGGTGGACAGCTTATGAAGCATTATATTCAATATTTTATAAATTTATTATTTAAATTTTAATATATATATATATTTTATCTCCATGTTGTGGCCTATTTGAATAAAAGAATCAAATAAATTTATTTTATATATTAATAAAAATTATAATCATAAACAAATAACTTTTAATTTTCGTAAGAAATAAAAGAATAAATAAGTCAAATGAACATATAAATAGACGAAACTCGCTCCTAATGAAACTTGGATATAAGACTTAAAAAGATTAAATCTTTTTTTTTTTTTTTACATTTACCACTTAAATAAAGCCTCCTTAGCAAAAATCTCAAATAGTTATGGGTGGCGAAACCCACCTCCTTTGAAAGTGATTCTTTTTCATTTTTAGTGCAAGGGGCGGGCAAGGCCAACAAATTAAGCAAATAATTGATCTTGTATCTAATCACATCCGTAATTAAGCATTAATAACAAGGTTAAAGTCAAATTCCAAGTAAAATAGTAATTACTAATCACGTTAGAATTGGGTTGAAGTTGATTAATTGGAATTTAGGCCCAACTTATCATTGGGCCTTTAAGCTTAGGCCTGGACTTTACGATAGCGGCACAGGAAACTGGACCACTCGTTGGGCCCGATCTAAGAGAATTTTAATTTTTAAATTGGCATATCTATTATACTAAACTCTCCCTGGCCTGGCCAAATATATATATATATAGAGACACACACACACTAAAATCTCAAATATCAAATACTCATCAATTATATATGACGTTCATTGAACATACATAATTTGTTCACAATTCATAGGACACTAAAAGCATCTTGCAATGAAAATTCAACAACCACATTTATCGCTAGATTAAGTTCAAAGATGGGATTGTACTTCATCCAAGATTTCGCACACCAACAAAATTCTGTGTGAGAATACATTAATAAATGATGTTGATTTAAACTTGCAACTATCTGCCATGAATAATATCAATTTGGCAACATTTGGCATGATAATAATACATCTATCTTCCTCGAACATAGTAACAGGCAACATATCCTACTACATTAAAATGTTCAAAGGTTTTTCTGGACCCTAAATTGTTTGAAAGTTTGATGAAACGAGGCAAGGCAGCACGAGGCAACAATATCCCAAATATATTCAAGCAAAAAAGATCATTCAATTTTACATGGATCGCTTGCAATACCCATGGTAATGTAACTTGACCTATATCAATAAGTTCTAGTGTAAAATTGAAAAAACAAAAAGTGCATTGTCCCAAGCAGTGGTATGCATGCCATAAACTATGCATCTCCATTTAAACGTTTGTTGTTTAGCAGGTTTTACCCAAATTGAAAATACTGGCATTATCTACAAAAAGAAACCAAACTTTGTTAGAGCAAATGCACAGTGCATACCTACAAAAGTTCATTTAAAAATGATTGGATTCTCTTCTTCCAGGATTGCTTTCGGGACCCTTTTCCAAGCTATAATGCTTCCAAAAAGTAACACCACCACTATGACATCTTATATTCTTGATGAGACCTGGATTGTTCTTTGGTTAGACCACCAACAGATGAACCTCCTTTTTGGTTTAGAGAGATTGAGATGGTTCTGGCTGCTGTAATTGCAGAATCTCCCCTCTTGACAATTTTCTCAACTTCAGCAACCTTCTCTGACAGCAATCTAACATTTATGCCGTTGGACTGAACCAACTGGTTTGCAGTTTCCAGAGCAGCACATAACTGGAATAGCCAAAGGGGATCAATTTAACAGTAAAATAACTTGTTAAATGGTCATTGTGGAAACCAGACTGGGGATGCAGGGTACTTGAACGAGAGTTAAAGTCAACAGAATTGATGCCCAAATTGAAACAATGTAACCAGTTAAAGCAACAACAATATTATCATCCCCTAACAGATTCCTGTTGGCATTTATTCTAGGATAATGCATAAACTGCAACAAAAACAATAGCAAACAATCAATGGAAAGGTGCTCTACATATGCTTTAAAACAGATTGTCTGTTACCTTTAAAGTTAGAGCTGTCCATGAGTGGTCCGAACCAGCAAGTGCCTCGCTCAATTTCTCGTAGTTTACCTGAACAAAACCACTATGAGCTTGTCACAGCAAAGAAACAAAGATGTATATGTGTAATGCCAAAATAAACACATACTAAGCTTGCTAGAAAAACGCATGGAAGTGATCATTTCAGCATTTAACTGCGCAAACCATGAACACATAGGAGTCATCCCATATGATATTCAAAACTGCCACAAACTTTTTCCAATCTCTATAACTTAAATTAACAAAAAACTTAGTTGAATAGTTGTTTTCACATCGTCTATAAGGGTGAGGTCAGAGTTATACAATAAAGTCTTTGAACTGAAAAGTCCTATGCTTTAAATTAAAACAATGGTGGTTAAATGAGGAGAAAATGTTATGGGAAACTCACCAAAGGCAATGCAAATTTCACAGAAAAAATTCAAACTTAAACAAACTAACATGTTCAAATATATATATATATAGCATTAACCATTTTCTCTTTGGTAATCACATATGAAGTGTTTTACTTTAGACATTTCAATCTTGTGGTAATGAATTCCTAAATTTTAGTACAATTGCTAAAGTCAAGACTTTTTCAACAACTCAATTTGTTTCAAGCAATATATTTTTGTCATTCAAAAAATAAAAATTTAGAAACAGAAAGGAATTAAAATTTTTTCAATTTGGGATCTGCCCTATTGTTTTGTAAACACAGAGGAACAAGAAAGGAACCTGAAAGAGTCTGGTGAGGTCCAAGGTTTGAGGGGCATCATTTGAATCAAGAATTGACGATGATGATGATGATAGTGATGGAAGAGTGGCATCATCGTGGTGGTGGTGGTCTGGTGCGGCACCGTATTCTTCCCCCACGTCGCTTAGCAGATCCCCTATGGTAAGCAAAGGCCCTCCAATTCCTCTCATCCCCTTTTTTTTTTTCTGCCTTTTTTGCTTTTCCCGACTTTGTCTGCCTCGCTGGCGCTCTTGCACTCTGTCAGTCTGTCTTTGGTACAAGGTAGACCTTGCAATTCGTACGTAGGTTTTTTACAAAATATTAATAATTTATATATTTATGTTATATTTTATGTGAAAATTATAATTTGTTTGAATATAAAAATATTATTTTGTTGAATTTATTTATAATTTTTATTAAAATTTTAAATTATATTATTTTTAATTTTTTTATTCTTATCATTCTTTTGCTTGAAATTGTCAGGTTTAAAGGGTTTCATATTTATGGACCTAAAGAAATCGAATTAGGCCCATTAAGGGCCCGTTTAAAATTTTCATCGCTGAAGGACCTGTAAAGACCGGCTTTCTCTTTGTTCGTTTTGCCAACAGGAGAAAGCAAAGCAGTCCTCTGATCGACGTTCAATAGCTTCGCAAAGTATCAGGTAGGCCTCAAATCTTTTATACTTTAATGGGTTAAAATTGTTATGAAGTAAGTTTTTTGCCTTTTCTACTTATTGGGATTTGCTGGTGTTTTGGGTTTTAGGGGATTGGCTTTCATTTTCTCTTATGATAAGCTCCACAGATGCCGGATAAAGAGGTCTTTTTTTTTTTTTTGGGTTTAAGTGCAAAATCAAATAGCTAGAAGAGGAGGAAATGGCTGGCCAAGAGGTTAAGCAGCTTGAGGATTGCACAGTTTCCAAGTAAGTTTCTGCTCTTCTTTTCCTCTAAATTTTAATTTATTTTTTGTCTAATTTAACCCTGCTATGTTTTGGATTCGAAGTTGAGCTTGTAGAGTTTGAAATGCTTCTTTTTATTTACTTATAGTTTGGTTTCAAGTATCTTTAATGATGGATTTAGTTTGTTTAGAGTAGCACTAACCATGAAATTGAGATTATTCTGATGAACCTTTCTCTATCAATGGCTCTAATCCTAGTTTTTAGGAAGATTAACTTTATATGGTTGCATGCACATAACTGAAAAAATCAAACTATTGTTGAAGTGCTATTGCAGCTCTTTTAACCAACCATTTTGATTCAACTTTGGGGTTGTTATAGGGCTTTTGGTATGATGGTACTTAACCTGTAACATGTCTCCAGATGAACATACTACAATTCAAAGCATCAAGTTCCATCATTTATTTCCCTTAATAAAGTCGTTCTCAAATTTCTCAGCACGGTGGCATGATCTCCAGATTTATTTCCTTTGATCATATGTTGTCATTGTATATATTGTGATGAGTATAATTGTTGTGGAATGCTGCAGTGCATTGGGCACATGGGTATTTTCAGTAGCAGGGGCTTTGCTAGCAATTCCAGTGGGGATAAAGCGGAAATCTTTAGCACCCCTTGTGTTCTTTGGCACAACTGGTACAATGCTTGATATCATTATGGGAATCAGTGCTTGTGAAAGAGAACATGCAGAACGCCAGATGAAGCTTTTAGAAGCCCAAAATTCTGCTGCTAATGATTCTTCTTTCTCAGAGACTGGATCTGAATCACAATCCTAATCTCAGAAGGTGTACATTCACATCTTTGAATGAGCTTTTGATTTGTCTTTCAAACTTGCCTGGGCTGTAACAGAGACCCAGTGAATCGCTGTTTCTGCGGTGGCTATTTTTCTCCATGTCTTGATTCTATGTTTCCCTTCTCTATGATCTTTTTTGGTCATGGTCTTTACTCTTTATCTGTGAACTATTTCCGCTGAATAAGAAAATCGCAGTTTGTCTTAAAGCCATTCTGTTGATTTGGATTTTGGCATAGGTTCAAATAATTTATAATCATCCAACTTTCCTACATGTTTGGCTCAATAAAGAGGTTCACGATTTTATCTCAATTTTGAGAATAGCGTTTTACTTCTCACGCCATGTGGATGCAGTTATGCTTCTATATGTAATCATGTAATCACTTGAACAAGGCTTAGATTACTTGAAAACAATTTTACGCAGCTATGCATTTATCATAAGTATGAAAACCATAAACTGTAGCTTAGTTTTAAATATAGCATCTAATAAGTTTAGAGTTTGAATCCTAACATTTGCAACTTTTTTCTTCGTATTGTGATCTCTTATGTACTTAAAAGAAAGTATGAAACTATGGCAAGCATGCATGGATATAATCAAGTAGAGTTTACTAACGAAGTCAAGAATCAGTAATTAACAAAAAAACAAATAAACCAAGAGATCCAAGTGCTTGTACGCACATTGTTTGCATGAAATGCAAATATAGGTAGGTTCAGAGTAAGGTTTCACTTTACATGCAATCACCCACCAAGACACATACACAAAAGAAACACATGAGCAGAAATGAAACTAACTAAAAGTGGTAATATAAAGACCCAAATTTTTCATGAAAGTTCATCTGATTCTTGAAATAACAAATGATGCCACAAATTTGAGCCCATGTATGTGCACGAATCACAATTTCAAATTTATTAATTTGAAAATTTTGAGTTACAAACACTGATATAATATTATCCTTCCAAACACAAAATGTTCCTCTGAAAATATCTTTTAACCATTGCAGCAGAAAGAATAAGGTACTTCCATTATTTCAATGAGAATAAAAGTGTTATGTCCACCAAAATAAGCGCAAGAAGAAACCAATACCATAAAAAGCCTATATATATCAAGCAGACTGCATGAAGGCGATCTAAGCTTTTCTCACAGAAGAGAGGAAGAGAGTTCTTCTCAACTATAGACCTGCTACAGGGTGCAGACACGTTGAATATCCTATCAGTTGATAATATTAAATGGCATGCAATAAATTTGAAGACATTTCCCAAGCTCTGGATCCAAAGGTGAAACACATAGTTGGCAGCCACTGCATTTAAATTCTTGTGCTAAATTATTCCCTTCCGACGTATGTGGTCTTCTTCAATGGTGGCCTTCAAGTAATTGGCAGAAAATATTGCACTAGTTAGCGCAATACTTACGAAAGTGAGGGACAGTCTTTAAATTAATTTGGTTCCGGCACTTTCCAGTTTCTGGAGAGTCGCCTATTCTGCAGTGAAATTAACATCCAATATAACAGCAATATACAAGAGGCAAAGGGTAAAAGCATGATCATATAAAATTTTCTTCTCATAGTCAGCCCAGTGTTAAAACATGTAAGAAACTTCTCATAACCGCACATATAAGGGCATTCCCTGTTATTCAAGTATGAGGCATTTCAGCTAGATGAATACTAAAAAGCAACAAGATATCCCGAAATGGAAAATCTTAATGAAAAAGTTATAGCAAGTGCTAGAATTACAGTGATAATATGGAATGTATAAAGAGGAAAGAGTACTTGAGAGTCATATCAAGTGAAGAGCAGTATATCCAGTCCTCTGCAGCCATTACGTAACCTTCCTAGGCTTTTCTGTTGCCGATAACCTCACTGTACACACTGCTACTAAAGTCCTCTTTCGGATGAAATTAAAAATAGTAATAACAATAAAATTAATTAATGCAGTAATCAAATTAAAATTAATAATGAGATATGTATTTGAATATAAATAAAATGAAAATAGTAAAATAAAGCATAGTGGAAAAAATAATTATTATAGATGTTAGATTAAAAGTTATATATAAGAGAATTTTTAAATTATTAGATATTTTGAAATTAAAAAGTAATTGAGAATTATTAAAATTATTTTTACGTATTTATTCATTAAATTATTTGATATTTTTATTTATTTATTAATAATTTATTTTATTATAAAATTTATAATTTTTATGTATTTATTAATTTTTAGTTATTTATTTATTAATTAGTTTATTCTAAAATTATAAAAAATTATTTGTTTATATTAAATTAAAAAATTTATTTAAAAATTGTTAAATAAAATATGGAAAAGAAAAAGATTAAGTAGTACACTTTTTTTTGTCCTCACGCTATATTTTTAAGAGACAAAAAAAAAAAGGTCATATCAAGAAAAGATGCTGTGGTAAAGGATGAAAATTTTAACTGAACCTTTAAGATCTAGTCACAATTTGAAACTGTGGTGCAACGAAAACAATTCTCGCATGAAAAAATCTGATGATTCAAATGGATTATCAGGGCGATTGAAGGTATCAAACACGCTGTACTGACGTCAATTGAGAATCCAAATGGATCCTAATTCAACTGCACCTACAACATGTTTCCATAAAACACCATTTACATACCAACAATAAACATTATGTACAAAAAAAAATGTAAATTCTCCCTTTCTCAATTTTTTTTTATGTTAAAAACATTTAGTTTTTATGAATAGTCAAACAGTCAAACAAACTTGCATTTCACTAATACTAAAAATACCATTATTTTCTTCCTTAAAAAAAATTCCATATACTATTCTATGATTGACAAGCATAGTAAAGACTTTCCTTTGTGATAATAGCCTTCTAAGTTATATGAAAGTAAATGTTATTTTGTAATTTGTCACTAACAGGCAGTCATTGAGTAAAAATGCAAAACTCCATTCATCATATAAACAATAGTTTTTTAGGTTAAATGCTATTACATCTCAACATTTCCTAGTAATATTTCCCTGTAGCAACACTGAGAGGAAAAAACACACAACATAAGCAATAAAAAATTAGATAAGCATTTTATTTTCCCTCAAGGAGAGAAAGACTGCGTTATAATACGCCAAAATAAAAGAAGAGAGTCGAGAGTGTAACATACTTGCTACAAATGGCTCATAAAAAAAAAATCTGAAAACATTTCAAATTAGCCACCCAAACTCAAAAAACTTTCGGGCTGCAATGTCCATGAAAATCAATACGAAAACAGCATAGAATCGACTCCTAAGCTCAGTGTCAAAGCACCAAATGAATGCTCAGTGTCGTACAATAAGTTTACTACTGGATATTATCAGATGGAACTGGCCGGTAAAAACAAGGGCCAATTCCCAAGAGCAGCTTTTGTTAAAAACAGCCACTACCGTTATCTACACCTCCCTTCACATGCCTCCATGTCAAACATCATGCAGGTAATGAAGATCTCGTCAATCTAAACCATTGGTTTCTTTTTTTTTTTTTTTTTCTATGTCTTTTCAGAACTTGTATATTAGCTATACACTAATTTCTTATCTACAACAGAACCTGTTAATTCCTTACAAGGCTCTGCTGCCTTTGTCTCCCTGAGATCATTCAATTCAATCACATTACTTAACTACCTTCTCCACAACATGAGTTATTTCAAATATGAACTCATGTATAACCGTACACCAATCTCAAGGGGTCCATCATCACCACCCACTGCATATACTGCCACAGGTATTGTTGAAAGCAGGTGCAGAGTTAGAGGAAAAGTTCCAGGATCAATCCAAGAGTTTGCAATTGGCTCCAAATCTGGGAATGCTGCCTCGTTATTCGTCATGCATGTTGCATCACGGTCGTTAATACAACCTGTTTCAACACCCAGATCATAAGGCCTAACAACCCACGCAACATTTCCTAAAGCCATGTAATTCCCTAGGCCACCTCTCTTGAACAAGCGTTTGCGCCCAGATAAATTAAGCACCACTGTTGAGGTAGACTCGAGCCACTCTACAGTTAACCCTTCAACTTCATCATAGTATATCCGTCGCTCAATCTGAAAAAGCAACAACATGAGCATTGAAAAACCAAAAGAAGATGCATGGTACAGTTGAATTAAGAAAATAAGAAATAAATCACTTACAGCCAGCTTCTGAATATAAACAGAAATAAATTTTGGGCCCAATCCCAATACTCTAGCATCAGACAACAAAATCTGAAGAGAAAAAAAAACAAATGGACAAAAAAATCAGCCACAAACGCAAACATACAGACCCCAACATAATGGAATAGCATAAAAGAAAAACATTATTAAACTTCCAAAACTTAATTTTCTATAACAAGTAATCTCTATTAGATTTCCTTCATTACTACATGTTAAGCTCCTATTTATGTTTAACATCTACAAGGTTAAAGCAAAAGTATGAGGAGTGGGCCTGAGGATGTTCTATAATATGTTTTACAGCAAAAATAATTTCCAATGGTAATAGAAGACAAACCATCAGTTATAACTTAATTTCTAGGAAGATTACACTAAGCATGAATAAAGCAGAATCTTTTTTTTTTTTTTTTCATTTTAAGAAGATAAAGTCAAAGACATAAGGCAACAAGCAGAATTTAAGAATTGAACAGGAAGACATGAAGGAAGTTCCATAGTTAAGACAGCTTATCATATGGACCAAAATATAAATCCAAAGTGATAGCTGCTTATAGTACATACTACAGATCAATAAAAGTATGTGAAATATTAAAAAATAAAATAACGAACAAGAAAAGTACAAACATACCTCCTTTTTCTTCAGCAAAATCCACATGTAGAGTTTCTCACAGGCATCTTCAGCATGCCTGCTGGCCAGCTTTCTTTCGTTGCAATATGCAGCAACATCAGCTAGTAGTTCAGGGGAAGGAATTCCATGCTTCAGTGCAGCACTTGATAATGCTTCCTTCCCTTGCGGAGATGCTGCAGCTTCCTTATCAAAATATATACCAGTGAAACACCTTCTTGACACTTCCTTCCCATTGTTACTTTTATGCAACCCACTTTGCTTCTGATACAACTCCTCTGCTTCAATTACAGCAGCCAATGTCCGATGTACTAAAATGTCTGGATACCGACGTAGTGGGGAAGTAAAATGTGTATAGATAGGAATAGCCAACCCATAATGACCCCAATCATACAAATTATCTTTTAACTCACCACTGCAAAAGTAGGTAGCCAATTGCATCGATTTTGAAGCATACGAGATGAGAATATCAAAAAGAACAGAATCATCCTTGAGTTCTTCCCTTATTTTCTCCAACGATTGACGAAACTTACTGGAAGAGGAAGTATCCAATGATAAACCATGTTTGCAACAAAAAGCTTCAAACTCTTTGAGCTTTCTCAGATTAGGTTCAGGATGCCTCCGCAACAATGCACTATCTGGAAAGGCTCTAGATATTACTTCTGCAGCTGTCATATTTGCCAAAAGCATAAACTCTTCAACAAGATAATTTGAATCTATCCTCTCACTTAGCCTGCTATCATATGGAACCCCATATTCATCAACCAAGTAAACAACTTTAGAGCTTTCAAGCTGCAGAGCACCATCATTATATCTTTTCTCCTTCAAAGTTTTTGAAATTTCATGAAGACATTTAACAGATCTAATAACATCAGTCCATTCAAACTGGCCATGCAACAGGGGGTATCCTTCTAAAGTATTAGATTTCTCCACATCAATTATCCCTTCAATGATGTCTTGAGCATGCTTATATGAAAGCTTACAACAAGACCTTATCACTGTATGGCCAATCCATCGATCCAAAACATCCCCCATGCTGTTTAATTCCCAAAACATAGAAAATGCAAGCCTATCTACTCCAGGATTAAGCGAACCCATCTGTTCTGAAAGCAAGGATGGCAACATCTGTATCTTCCTTGGAAACATGTACACACTGGTTGATCGAATCTGAGCTTCTATATCTAAGGCCGTGTTGGCTAAGACAAAGTATGACACATCTGCAATGTGTACACCTACTCTAAAAGAGTCCTTCGATAACCTTTCAACAGATAAAGCATCATCAAGATCAGATGCAGTGGAAGGGTCAATAGTAAATATACACAAGTCTCTAAGGTCTTTTCTAGTTTGAAATTCCTCCAGTGGAACGTCCCAAGGAATATTTGGAAGACAAGAAAGCACTTGAGGAGGAAAATCAGCACAACAGATTGTATTTTGATATAGGATTGCATTCATCTGTGGTTCCAATTCACCACCCCGTCCAAATGAATGAGAGACACGAGCTCGCGGAAAAGGACTTTCTGCACTCCAATCCTCAATTTGGGCAGCTAGCAACTCCATCTCAATTGTTACATCACCATCTTCCAACCTTTTCTTTATGCAGTCTGGTAAGTCTCTCACAAAAACAATCATTTTGGGAAATCTTGGATCAGTTGGGGTCAATGCAACATACTCATGGTCAAAAGCCACAGAATTTTTCTTTGCATCTTTTCTATAAAGTTCTCGATAGGAAAACCACTGCTTAACATGAAGAAAACCAACAATAGCATCACGTCGAAGAGATTTTTCAACAAGTGCTACAACCCTCCCAGTTGGTCGTTTCAGAGGGAATTGATTAGTCATGACAGCCAACCTCTCAACAGAATTTAAGCCATCACTCTGCCCAGGAAAAGGACCCATTTGCGAAAAATCTGAACTAGATTGGTGATATACATTAACATAATTGGAAGCTTCTGTTCCAGTCACCTCTGTCTCATCATAAAACCCTTTCTCAAGGAGTGATCCACTTCTACAATCAGCGTACTCACAATCTGCATCAACTTTACCTTTACCCTTGTCGCTATTACCAGCCAGTCCATTGACATCTTGGCCAGAATTACAATCTTCTACCTGTGCAGAGTTGTTTGAGGACCCATTTGACCCTTTCATCTTGGTCCACAATCCCAAAGGGTCAACCTTAATAACCACAATATCTCCCTCAACCTATGAAACAGAATAAATAGACTGTCAATTATTAAATCCATCCAGTATAAACTAGTAGACTAGACTACATATAAAGGTAAATCAGCATTGAAAATTAACATAAAGAACATAAACCCGGAGAATCTCATACTCACAGCTCTATTCTGCGACAAAACTCCATTGATAAGAACATCTGTAGGTACCCCATCAATTTTGCAATATGCCTAGCAGCATAAAACAGTCTTTCATGTCAGCATACAAGATTTATCATGCAAGGAACATCATAAAACAAATTGAAGTTTAGCTATCACAAACCTCAAGCCGATTGTGAGCATTCACACGAAACAATCCTTTGAAAGCTTCCCCTTTCTGCAAAAGGGTTAAAGAACAAGTGATCAAGAAACAAACACACAAATAGAACCAATAAACCTCCCACATAAGACTCTCTATGCATACAAAAACCAATACAAAAGACAGAAATTAGGTAAATATATTAATTACTAGTTTTTATTGGATCTGCGATTTGCTTGTGAACCATATTTTTTTTAGTCTTAATTATTTTATTTAAAATAATACTAACAAGTTATTGTTGAGAAGTGGGGGCTTTATTGATTATGAACTCTAATAATTATTTTTTACTCAAGTTTAATAGTTCAATTTATGCACACACATCCACTCAACCTCACATACGAATATGATCTAGTGCTACAAAAAAGCAGTGAGCTCTCCCATCCCAAGATCTGAACTTGAAACCTCCAAGTTGAAAACTCAAGTTCTAACCAGAAACGTGTCCCCTTGGGGACTTTACAAGTTGTTTTGTTAATCTAATTAGTCTCAATTCAAACTTTCTAACTTATAGGATTTATTACTTTCTTTAGGGTGTTTTAGTATTAAAGAACAAGGACTATTGATTAGTAAAAACTGTTTTTAGATTTTAATAACAATTAGATAGCATAAAGAGCTATAGATTATAAGAGCCATTTTTGAACAAACCTCTAATGCCTCATTTACAGCCTCTATAGGCCAGTATGGAGTGAACAATTTCTTTCGATCAACCTGCTGGAAAGGGAGAAAACCATCAATGCACATTTTAGATAACCCCTCATAGGAAATTGGTTCAGGACATGATTTCGAAAAAATTCTCCCACTAACATCAACAGAAGTATCATTACAACCAGAGCCAGCTTGTTCATTTATATGCATTGTAGGCATAGAACTAAAAGCAATAGCAGATGCTCTATCGGGAGTCTGTTCATTCGACGCCATCTCCAATCCTTGTTGTTTCGGCGAAGAACAACTCATAGATGATGTCAAACTTTTTGTTTTATCTTCACTTTTCAAGCTATGTGATGATTCTCCACGGGCTTCATTCACTGAATTACAAGCTATATGCCCATAAAGATTAAAATTAAGAAACGAAAATCAAAATCCCAGTTCATTAAATCTCACTGAAATCAAATTAACCATGAGACAATAAAAAACCAATTTCGTAAACTAATTTCACTATTCTTCAAGAAAAACCCAGAAAAAATAAACAGATTCATAATTCGAGAAAATACAAGAAAAAAAAAATCTAGAATACCTAGTAAAAAAAGACAAAAAATTCACTAAATTCTAAGAATAGCGGCAAAAACCACTAAAAATTTTCAGTTTGAAACTACAAAATAAGATTTCTATCAGAAAATTCAGTATCACTTATAAAAGAATCACCTGAGTTATGTTTGGGTCGCCTAGATCGTCGTTTTTTCTTCTTATCCTTATCAGTATCCTCCACCCTCTCAACAATCACAGATTGCTGTGTGACGCCGCTATCACCCCTCATAATGTTTATAAAAATTAAATAAAACCAAAAGAAATTTAATAAAACAACAGCAAACTCAAAACCCTAGACCAGATAAAAACTCGGGCAACTTCCGATGAGTTAAAAAAAATCTTACGGAAGGAACCGAACAAAACAAAAAAAAAAAAAAAGGATTGAGAGGAAAATTTTGGAAAAAAAATGAAAAAGACAAAAAAAACCAGAGGTAAAAAGAAGGGTTAGGGTTTTATAACAAAGTTTCTAGAGAGAGAAAAGAAATTATTTTTTTAGAGAGAGAGATAGTGGGTGGAAGAGATAATGACGTGACGATTGGTCGGCGGAAACATGTGGCTCCGACTATTGATTCCTTTGTCTTCCCTCTTTCCTCTCCCTTTTCTTTCTCTCTCTCTCTCTCTTTTTTTTTGTTTCTTTTTGTTTCACTTTCTTTCTCTCACGGTTTCTTTCCCTTTCCTTTGTTCCTCTGTTCTTTCTTATTTTTTCTTGGCAGGGAAGAAAGGAGAACGTGGTGTTGGGTGAGGAGTTAGGAATGTTAGATCTTGTGACACGTGTCGGATTATGAATGCAAATCATAATGACACGCTCCGTTTTTGCTACTTTATTACCACTTTATTAGAAGTTAATAAAAGATTTTCTTTACATGAAAGTCGAATTTTTTTAATTTGAGACGGAACGTAATAATTATTCTCACTAAAATTATGTTTGGTTAATACTTTTATCATTTGTTTATTTATTTTTATTAAATAAAAAAGCAAACGATAATGATATTAATTAATTATCATTTTTTTTTAAAAAATAAATGAGGGGAATTAAGCTTTAACAAAATAAATTTTTTTATAAAAAACAATGTTAATTTGGCGGAATAAGATTATGTTAATATGTAAAATTTTTTATACTCTTTAATCTTGTTGAGCTTATTAATTTAATTAATCATAAAATATATAGTATTATTTTTAATCATTGGTTTGCATTATTGTGGGTCGCACGTTAGTCGATTTAGAATGCATTTAGATTCGTTAGCGTTTTCGGATGGAAGTGTGATTACCAATAAAATTTGTGCTCATCGTCACTAAATATTTATTTGGATTTTATAAAAGTGGCCCGATTGGGGAGTTTAACCTCATTTCTCCATTGATGAATTTGGGTCCAATGAGGAAGCTCTTCAGCTCTTTTTTATTTTTTTTCACCTTTCATTTTATATTAAAAATAAAATTATCTATATAATTTAACTTTTTTTTATTTAAAAATTATAAAATAAATTTATTAATTTAATATAATAAATAAAATTTATTACCATAAAATAAACTATTATTTTTAAAATTTTAATTATTTATGAATTAAATTATTACTTACCTTAAAAATAATTTAATAATTTTATAAATTTAAAATATTAATTACATCCAAAATTTAATTTATACTTTTAATAATTATTTTTTCTTATCACAATTCATTGCATATCTGCTATTGTATTTACATTTAAACATATATTTTCATAATTAATTTTATTCTCATTTTCATCATTATTTTTAATCTTAACAAAAGATAATTTCAACTTCTAGACTGGTCAACGATGTCAAACAAACAAAAAAGCTCGATTGTGATAAGTTTCAATTTTCTTTCATTGGGTTGAATTATAAGCTTCCATTTTTGAAATTATAAGCTTCCATTTTTGAAATTATAAGCTTCCTTTCTTCTCCACTAAGATTCCCAAGACTTTTTTAACGTTGTAGCTGCAACAGTTTTCACATGTGCAATAGTTTCAACTTTGATTTTTTATTATTAAGTTGTTTCCTTTACCATACCTTTTTTGCTTTTTCTTTTGTTTTTTTTTTTCTTACATGCTTTTCCACTCGGCCTCCAATAAGATTCATTCCACTAAAATAAAAATTATATCAACAAAACTCAATTTTTTTAAGAGAGAATATATACAATGTATCATTAAATCAAATGTTTTCTTTTATCAAAACTTTAATTAATAGTTAAAATTTCACCTTTTTTTTCAACTTTTTTTTTCTTTCTATAAAGTTAAGATATTATAGATATCATATTGATTCTACACACTATTAGTGCTATATAATGAAAATGTCTAATTTATTAATAGAATTGATACTCTACAATGTATCTCTTAACTTACCATAAAAAAAAAAAAAAAAAAAACAAAAGGTTGAAAACAACCTATGGAAAATTATGTGAGAAATCATAACCACATGAATTGGTGTGTGAATGTATACCAAGGACAATGACATTGATTATTCATTTTTCTTTGAATAAAAATTACAAAATATGTTTGCTTTAATATGATATTGCTGATGGATTATGATAAATTGCTTAGTGGTATATTGCTTGAGATCAATGCATTGTTCTTGCATAGTTATTATGATTAGAATAATGCGTGTTCATTAATTTGAAAATTATATTTCATGGTATAAAGCATATTTTAAATTACCATGTGACATGATATGAATTCATAAATTTTGCATATCTTTGCTATGGTGATGCATATTTATTTATGAACTTATGAAATTCTTATCTTAGAAGTCATTTTTTACTTGAAAAATATTCTAAAACTTATTTTAGAATGGTTATAATTGTTGTGAACATGTATGACTTTAAAATTTGAGATTTGAAAAGATACTAGATAAATGATATTTGATAAATACATTCATGATCATAGTTTTAGTCATGATTATTTTTGTTGCATGATTAAAACTTGAAATCTATATTGTGATATTTATTGCTTCATGGTGAGTTTTTATCACTAAAAGCATAATTTTTACTTGCTTGGTGAGTTTTTATCACAAGACTTATTATTTCATGATCAAAGCCTATGCTCTTTTATATGAAATTGCATCATAAATCATTTTTGTTTTTTGGAGAAAAATCTTAAGTCAAATATTGGTAAAAATTTCAAGGTTCAAGAAAAAGTCCATACAAATATGTGTGATGAGAATGAATACTTTACTAGAGTTTATCATTACAAAAGGCAATTCAAAATATATATACGTATAGGCAATCAATTTGGAAACAAATTAATATGGTGACAAATAAGATAACATGAATCACTAGAAGTTCACTTTGTGAAAGTGAGAAATTATGAACATTATTGAATGATTAAAATCAATAATAACAGGTCATGTCATTTGTTAAAGTGTGTCTTTGAGAGTTGCAAAAAATCTTCCTTCTAAACTTGTTGAGTAAACAAGTGTGAGTGTGAAATGTATTTCAAACTAAATGTAAGTTGGTAAACTTAAGAAAAGATAATTGATAACCAAAGGTCATAATACAAAAAGAAAGATGGACTACTTCAAATCTATTTTTTTGTGATTAAAATTTTTATATAAGAGATATGATTTCTAAGCTACAAGTTTGAAAGTGAAAGCATAAAAATGTTGTCTTTAATAATGTGATGGATAAAGACATACATTCATTAAATAGAAAGGAAATTACTTAAGACAAATGATAAGGTAAGACAAATGAAGAAGCTAGAATCAAGAGGTATGCCAATTTTGAAGGTAGATTACAAATTTATCACTTAGAAAATTCATAAGATTGAAATGGAATTTGAATAATATGAGTTTCAAATTCACAAGTAATTTATTATTTATCTTAAGTGATAAAATCATTTTAAATGGTGGAGATCAAATGGTGATTCACAAATATCAAAAAATTGTTATCGAAAGCAATCTTGTGGGACATTATCATATATAAAATCTAAGCTTACTGATAATGTCTAATGCCAACAAGGACTTACTTTGGTTTTAAAGATTTCTTGAGAAGCATACTTTTTTATTGAGTTGAACCAAAAACTATATCGTTTATATAATAGCAAATACATTGCTATATATATATAAAAAAAAACAATAATATGTTGTAAGGAAGTTAAAAAACTTCCTGTTAGTGGATCTATACAAACTAAACCCTTGACAGATGATAAAAATGATAAAATACTATAAGAGGTATAAGATTGTTAGTGGTTACTAAGAGGTAATCTTGTTTGATTCCTACTTTATCTTAATGTTGCCATTTAGGAGATTGATTCATTCAAAGAAAATGATAATCTTCTTATAGGGAAAACATTATGTATGAGACTTAAGGGTTTTCAATCTTGAATTATCTAGAGAATTCGTAAATGAAATATATAGAATTCCTTATGTATCATTTTTTGAAATAATAGGGGATATATTCCACTATAAAATCCTATATCTAGATGTATTGTTTATCCATAACAGATAGTTAGACATAAGTCCATAATTGGTTTATAACTCATTTTAGTAGAGTGTTAAGTAAAAAAAGAAGGTTGTAAAGAACTCTAGATAAATTATATTATGTAAGTAAAGAAGTAAAATGCCACTTCATATGGATTTCCAGTTTAATCCTAGAGTACTTGTTATCATAGGATAAAGTGAAGGCTTATTAATGTGGTGCCTTTTTTGTGGAACTCATAAACTAGTGTAAAGTGTGAATATGTTTTCTTATGTTATATTTAATATGTTTCCTTGTGTCTAAGCATTTGATAAGGGATTTAACATAAATTTAGTTAATGTTATATACCTTGCATAAGAACCTAACTACATTTTCTTTAGGTTTGCATAAACATTTGCATTATTTAGTAATAAATGGGGAATTTTGTATATATTACCCAATAAAATATTTTCTAAAGATTATTTAAGTGACAACATTGTTTTTATAAGTATTTATTATGCATGTATATTGAAAAATAATGTTTGGAAGTATAGAAAAAATATTGGAATAAAGTAAGGTGAGAGTAATTGATAAAGTAATCGACTGCCATATCAACTGCTAAGCAAGAGTAGCTAACTATCTTAGCAACTACTTTTAAACAATTGGCTTCCCTAGCAACTTCTTGTGATATGAGACTAGGGATGTAAATAATACATTAGTATTTATAAGTTATTTGGGTTTGACTCGAATAAAACTCAAATCCAACTCGATTATTATCGAGTTGAGCTCGAACTCAAATAATTTGACTTATCGATCAAGCCGAATTCGAATATTTTTATACTCAGCTTGAGTAACTCATGAATTTAATCAAGTTTTTATATTTTAATATATTTTAATTATTTTAATGAATAAAATATCTTAAACTCGAGATCGAGTACAAATAATCGTGATTTTGTTGAATATAAAAATCGAGCTTATTTTTTCATATTAATTGAGACTAATCAAGCGAGCTTAAGTAGTTAGATTTTTATTTCGAGTCAAACTCAAGTTAAAAAAAAAATTAATTAAATTCGAATCGAGTTTCAAGCCTCGAATATAGAGTCAAGCTTGAGCTTGAGCTTAATACTGTGTTAGCTCAACTCAATTAATTACACTCCTAATTAAGACTTTCTATTTGAGAAAAATAGTCAACTGTCTTTATTGATAAATCGATCGCTCGTCTTGAAAAGTAAAAAAAAAAATCATTGGATGCTCTTTCGTTCTAAGAGTTGTGTTACTTTATTCAAATAATGCCCATTTTATGCAAGGTTGTTTGAGACACCTTTTGAGACTTATATATACTTCATAAACACTCATTTTAAAATAACTTTACATTTTTTTCATTCTTTAAAAATCAAAAACAAATTTTATTACTTGCATTTTTCTTTTTTTTTTTGAATTATGGTTTATGTGAGTTCAAGAAGAACTTGAAGTACAATCATTTTTTTATTCTGTTTAGGCATTGTATTTTAGGGATAATGTTTTTAAGAATCCATTTGCACCATAAGGGGAAGACTATTATCCTTAAAAAAGCTTCATATAAGTGTTTTACCTATAATTATTTTTCTTCTCTATTTTTGGATATTACATTTTGTTGTCATAACTATACCAATATACAACACTTTTTCCATTTACATTTTTTTCATGATTAATCTTATTTTTAATTACTATTCATTTTCACACACTCATAATATGCTTTCTATGTATGTTTACCTAGATTATACTTTGAAATGTATCTAAATATTTGTTTTAGCAAGTTTGAATTTTTTTTTCTCCTAATAATATTATACTTATAGAAATATATATTTTAAAAAAATACTTAGAAAATAGGTTACGAGTGAATAAAAAGGTGTTTCCCACCTCCATCCCATCCTACCATTAACCTTTTTTTTTTTTTTGGGTTAACAATATGTTTTAGGATTTAAATTTCACATTAATTAGTTGAAGATATTTGTAGAAAAAGGAGATGAAGTCTTATTCATAATGCTTATAAGCTTTGCTTCATAGGGTGGAAAGAAAAATGAAAAGATAAAAAATTAGAAGAGAAGAAAAATGAAAAGGATGGAAGACATATTTTTTCTTTTCTTGGTGTACTTGGTCGGAAAGATAGAAAAGTTAAAAACAAATGTAATTTTCTTTCTATCCATTGCTTAGTAATGTTGAAAAATGAAAAAATAAAACAAAATACATGATTTTACTATTATAATCTTTTGTAAATTAAGATAAACAGAAAATTCTAAATATCATTGATAATTTTGTAAATATGTAATACATGCTCATACCTCTTTTATTTTCTTTTTCTCTTCTTAATTTGGTGTAATTTATTTTTGTTAATGAGTATGAAAATTATAATCTTTTCTATTTTTTTTTCTCTCATTTTTCTTTCCAACCAAACACACTAAAAAACCATCCTCCTTCCACTTTTTCATTCACTATTTTTCATTTTTCCACTTTTCAATTCTACCAAATACAACCATAATATGAACTCCAAATATTTTTACTAGTGGACTGCAAGACATATGCCGAGTGGATCCTTTTTTAATCATTTATAAACAATTCAATAAAATTTAAGGTATTAATTCATCCTCTTTATTCTCTTCATAATCGAATATTTGAATATTAAATTTATTGAATATTATTTTTTTAAATTATTATATAAATTAATAAAAATAATTTTTATTTATTTTATATACATGAAACCTCACTCAAATTACAGAGCTCTAAACAAAGTTACCGCCCAATTAATGGCTAATTACTTGTAAATGACAGTGGCAATTTTGAAAGCCAAAAACCTTAAAATCTGTTAATTTTTTTTGTCATTTTCTTTTGTCCTTTAAAAATATATATATGTTTTTATCCATGTTGTCTTGTTAGGTAAATTTAATTAACATTTTTGTTATTAAACTTTGTTATAACCTTTATTGTAAAGTAAATTTTCAATGGTCTTACGCCTATATTTAGCCTAAGTCAAGGTGGACGGTTCCTATATTTCATGGTGTGTGGACGGGAGGGGAAACATTTATATTTTCTTGTTTGTTACTATACACATGGAAATTTTCGGAATACACAAGTAAGATAAGAGAAAATTTCAAAGTTGTTTATTTATTTTTTTAAAGAGAGTAATAATTCAAAGGATTCATAAAAATTTTGTTTATTAAGTGTTGATGTTATGGATTAACATTATTGATAAAAGAATTGTTGGACTTCTACTATTATAAGTAGAGTTAGCATTGGATCAAGTTCGAGACATATTTTGTTCATCTAAAATTCGATTTGATTTTATATGTTATCAAATTTGAACTCGATTTTATTTAATTTTTTTTTTATTTTTTCATATCCGAATTTGATCTCGACTAGATACTATATAAATTGTATTCGACCCGAAATTAATAAAATATTATTTTTAAAATATAAAATTTTATTTTTAAAAATAAATATTTTAAAATATCATTATATAAATATATATATAAATAAAAATTAAATAATTAATTAAAATTAATTTTATATATAATATCAGGTCAAATTTACCTAAAATTCAAATTTGATCTGACTCTGATTGTTTCATAATCTTATCAAATCCAATTCAAAATTTAAATTTAAAAAAAAATCGATCATATAAAATAAAATGAGCTCAAAATCTATCGAAAATAAATTAAATTATCGACCTAATTATAAGATTGTCTACCGAGCTCCGAATGCCTGTTCTGACCTCTATAGTTTGACTTATTATTGTTATTTTTTATGGGTTCGACCTTATTTTAAAATAAAAATTTTGTGTTCGATATGAAAAAAAAAAAAAAACAAGAAAAAATTATTAATCGAGTTACAAAAGCAGTCACTTTGTTTTCTCAAACAAAATAAGTAAATAAAAACTAAAAGGACAGGAAATTCTGGGAAATGGCACTTTGCTAAAAAATACTGTTAAATGCTTTATGACCGTAACAGTTTTATTAACCAATTAACGAAACCGAAAAATATAAACTCAGAAAGTGAGCTTCAGTGTTGCTACTATTCCGAGATTGATTTTCAGCAAAACCCCAAAATTTCCCTTCAAAAACCCACGAAATCTCTTCAGTAAAACCCTGATTTTGTATTCTTTTAAATCTCCAACTCACTCAAACTCGTTGCTTTCTCAAACTCGTTGCTTTCGCAACGGGCTAACTCACTCCACCCAAAGTCCTCCTCCACTCACATCCATCACCCCATTCAAGAACTACTACTTCTCCTTGTTTTCTCATTAACCCTTTTATGTTTTCGTCTTTTCTCCAATTCCTTTTTGCCCTATTTCCACTTTGTTGGCAAAGCCTCATTGCCTTCTCTCATGAAGCTGAAGCTCAGACGAAAGCTTATCCTAAACATATGTGGGAAGCCATTGTTGCTTAGGAGGATCGTCGCCTCTTTAAATATTTTGGGCTCGACCCAGTTGGCTTTGGTCGCTTTGTTTTGTCGTTATCAGCTCTTGGGGGCGGTAGGACCATAACTCAGCAGGTTAGTGTGGTTTTTTTAATTTGGGATATTGTTATGTACACAAATGTTTGATGGTTTTACTCAATCAAGTGCGTTTATTCGTTTATTCATTTATTCACGCTTAAAATAGTGGGTTCTGTTTTGTGAATTTATTTTCTGTCTTGTTTATTAAATTTTGGTACATGTGAATGGCTGAAAGCGCATTTGGCTTGGGCTACATGCTTGAAGTTAACTTTCTCCATCCTTATAAAAGTTTACCCCTTTTACAAGATTCAAATAGCCTATTTCATAGTTAAAAGTTTGAAGTTTTAATAATTGAAGTGTCACCTTGGTGACAGGAGTTTGATTAATTATTAAGACTTGAGGGTGAATAGAATTTAGGTGTTGAGGGACTTAATGAAGTGTAATAGTACATGCCAGCAGCAAATTAAGACAGACACGTAAGGAAGCATTTACTTGGTAGGATAGTTGGTGTGTTGGGTTATTTTCCTTTTTTTTTTTTTCCTATTCCTTCTTTCTTATCTTTTCTGTAGAAGGGTGTAATTTAAATTAGTTGAGATAAGCATATAACATTTTGAAGGAAGGAAGATGCTTAAAAAGGAAAAATATAGGTTGGAAAGGAGGTATCAATGTACGTAAATACCAATCCTATTACAAATTTTTAATTTGATTTTTTTATCATATTTGATATGATCTAAGGTTGATAATACTAAAGCCTATCTTATCCCCATAACACTCAAGGGAATGTTGTCTTGCCCCCAAGCTTTTAAACATTCTTGGAATGTATTTTTTGTGCATATCTATCCGCTAGAATAGCATTATGCCCACAATGTAGAACGGATCTATATCTATGTATTTGTTTGGTTTGGATTACATTTTGACTGGTGAGATGATAATTTATTGCGCTTTTACTCCTGATTTCTTGTTGTTGCCTGAAGCCAATCCTTATCAGTTAGTATTTTGGAACTTGACCATTTTTTAGTTTGTATATTCTGGAAAGAGATCGACTGCTGCAACCAGCACATGGAGTTTTCGTTAGCATATATTTTAATTGATTTGAGTACCATCTGTTTACCATTTTTTGTTATGTATGATAATCCTCTGCAATCCCCATGGCAACTTGTGAAGAATACCTTACTAAAAAATGAGCGCAGATTCTCAAGAAAGATCTTGGAAAAGGTGTTGGCACTGGCATTAGAAAGGACAATGTCAAAACAAGGAATATTGAGCTCGTATTTTTGTAAGGTCAATCATATCTCTCATTTACTGTGGTGGCTGGTGTCCTTTCTCTTTGTTCAAGTTGTTTATGCATGGGCATTCTTTTTGCCCAACATTTTTATTGAATGGATTCTGCTATTTGAATGCACTTTCCTCCTGGCATTTCCGAAGGATGAAAGCAAAGCAGCAGTACTGTAGCCACTTGTTTTGTGATTTTGTGATTCTAAGATCTTGAAATTTGGAATCTCACAAGGCCATTGTAAATTACAGATATACTGGGGACATGGTATTAATGGCATCAAATAGCATCAAATTTCTATTTTGGGAAGCATCCGTCTCTCCTGAGCTTGGCGGAGTCTGCAATGCTTGCTGGACTTATACCTGCACCAGAGCTTAGATCGCCACTCAGGGATCAAAGAAGATTTTAAACTAATGCATCGGTATAATTAATCATGTTTGGAATTATCATGCATTCTCTCTTTATAAATCTTTCAAGTGCTTTCTGGTTCGAGCTGTATGCTTGAAGTTTGATGTATGCATTTTGCTTTTAAGGTTGAAACTTGATTGATTTTCATACCTTAATAAGAAGAAATAAGAGACTAGGTTAAAAGCTGACTTCTGTCTTAATGATAGTGGCAAGACCTTCCAAGCCAGAGTTTTGAAGAGGATGGTGCAAGTTGGTTATCTTGATATCAAGATGGCACTTTTGACTGTGAGACAACCTCTTTATCTACGTCTTAATAGGCCAGAACATGCAGATGGACTATCATACCTGTTGTCTTTCTCTGGGTTGGTATGTCAAATCATCATGTTTTGCCCTTCTGTTTAGATGACATAATATGATATAGCAGTAACTCACTAGTTCAGTTTTTATTCTGAGTTTGTTCGCTTCTTTGTTTCATAGGGCCTTGGAGAGAACAACAAACTGAATCAAGTAGGTAAAGAATCAACATTCAAAGGTACATGGGTCTGGGAAAGAGAAAGCAAAATATGGGAAGTATGTGAAGAGATGGAAAGATGGGCCATGAAAATTCGCATAGAACTTCAATAAAAGCTTCTTGTTTGAAATGAAATGCAGAACACTGTGATTTCGGGGGACCATATGTTTCAAGGTAATTTTTAATTTAAAAGAAACCTCAATTCTTTTACCTTTGGATGGTGCTAACTCAGATGAGCTGAGACTTTTGGTTATTACATTATTGTTTAAGAAAACATTTCTCTGATAAAAATGAGTTTTCTAGTAATACAATTAATTCACTCACTGTTATGTAGTATTAGGGTTCATTTGGCAGTGTGGTGGGAGAGACTCCTACTGCACCACAGCTGCGTTCTATGATTGGACCCTTAATAATTCCTATGTTGAGTTCCTTTGATATGAATATTGCTTGATTGGAGATAACAGTGAATAAAGCTACAGATTAAATGATTTCTCATCTTCAACCAATTAACATTGCACTAGAGAACAATATGAGAATTTATGCAACTTGAATATCGATACATGGCTGATATTGAAATGGATAAACATTGAATGACGATTAAAATTACCCTGAGCAAAACCAGAGACATATATAGAATTGATTTAGATCTAAGCCAAGTCCTAGAACATTTCTTTGTATGAATATAGTAGTTATTTCAAGGTAAATTCAAAGACCTTCCTAAAGGCTAATTTAAAACCTCATTGAAAATACTATCACTGAGGGAGCTTGTTGAATTTCTTGTATCGGTACTCAGCAAAAGTTTTGGTTGAATATTTAGCTGGGTTCTGTTCGTTCACAAGCTCAGGAAGTGGCCCTGTTATGGCCTCATGTGGAGGTGCACAGAACACTGCCCGTGACATCTGAGTTCGGTCTTTGTTCACAACACTCCTGTGAAGAGCACTCTTGTATTTCCCACTGCTCAGAACCTGGCCGAAAGACAAGAAAAATGAAAGAAAAAAAGCAGTGAGCTCAATACAAAAATATGTAATTAAGTTTGCATTTTCAGTTCAAGAGGCATTTTAGTTTATCTCAATCTGGTCGCCAACATGGACAAAGAGAGCATTAGCAAGTAATCAACGGCAACCCAATTTCCATCTTTCCAAACTTGAAGGCCTGGAATTTCATTAGGGACAAGCAAGGTGAGTGCAGACATGTCTGTGTGGGGTTCAACTCCTAGTGCCAGACGAGGTTGTGGGCATTATGGATACATGTTTATTTTCATTTCCAGTTCTATTTCATGATCCCCCGAGGGAGTCGCCAGAGCCTTTTTTTCCAGGCCTGGCCCCCAGAGAGCAGCCCCAACAGCTCATCTGTTATCTTTAGAATTTCCTTCTTGAATTCTTCATTGACTTCCCTGTTGTTAAATGAGTGAAGGCGTGAGAATTACTGAGGAAATTTCACTAATGCTGATGCCATACAATGGAGTAGAACTGCATTAACAAATGATTTAAGGAAAATATTTAAGCAAGCAAAGGATCGTAGCAAAGATGTTCTATACCTGTATTAAGTAGGGTGCTTGGGCCATATATCATTATATCATGATTGACAATAGGAGGAGAATGAGATGAAAAAGTAGTCAACCCACTCAACTTTCTCTTCAAGGTTCTTTGTTATTTTTGTGCCATAGCCTTCAAACTTGCCTGTTGAAGGACCATTTGCTTAAGCCTTCTTTTCCTTCTGCGTTAGAGAAGAACTCCTGACCCACTTCTTGCAGCCGTTTGATCATTTCTGTTGCCGTCCCGTGGTCGGTCACCAAGAAAAACCCCCATTGGCTACATGCCTCTTAGACCTCTTTCACAAGGACATCACGCGGCTGTGATAGGGAGATGACAGGCACAGTAACCCCTTCAAAGGGCTTGCTGTTCTCTGGTCGCTCATGGGCGAGAAGGATGAACTTAGCAGGGAGTTCATGGAGGCTGCCAAAGTCTCGAACTTGCACTTTTTCAACCTCGATTAATTGATTCCCTTATTGAAAATGCGATAAAAGGTTTAAACTTTAAATGAAGTTGGGGTTTCTGACATGGAAAATGTGATTAATTCTAGTTGAGTTTATGAAGTCATGAGCTTTTCACTGGGAACAAAAAGAGTAGTTGGCTTACCAGCAACCACGTGCCAATATGCTAAAGTCTCGAATTGAATAAAGAATTAAGAAAATATAAATCAATAAAAGAAGAATGAATCAATGAAATGTTTCTTTGGAACTTGAGTAAAGAGTAGACCTTTTTTTGGGGGGGGGTTCTAGAATTTGAAAGCGAGAACTCCTTTCAAGTGTAAACAAGAGTCATATGAGCTTCTAGATATGGGGAAGCATGATCTCCTATTGGCTTGATGATTACCAAAATTAATGGAAAAATTAACAAAATTGGATACCCTCTAGCTTTAGCCTTGTCCTTGCAAGATATTGAGCTTTTCTCTCAGCATAATTTTGGAAAAATGAACAGACTTTGCAAAATTATAAGCAAATCATCATCGGCCAGAAGAGGGAGAGGAATAGAAAAAGACTCCCTCCAATTCTGCATTTCCATAATTGTTAGTACTAATCACATGCTTACAAAGCATAATAACTTACAAAAAATGCAAGTTATTACGTGATATCAATGTTGATATGTCATGATCCGTGGATTCATGTATCGATTTTGTTGAAGATTGATTTGGGATATCAGATTAGTTTTCGAGTTTTTGAATCACACAAATCAAAACTTGAATCTCGATCCATGACAGATAGATTTGATTCCTCAATATTATTTTCTTTAGTCAGATGGGGAGAATGCAGACTTGAATTTGAACAATGGCAGAACTGATAATGACGATATTGAAGTATGTTTGGTTCCAGTTGATGAGGGGTTTATTATTGGCCTAATTTTGTCATGGAAAATGACATACTCAATGCCTGGAAACTACATTTTGGAAATATTTTCAACAAGTCACATACCAAGGGGCAGGAAATTGGTCCTAGAAGTCATACAGAGAAAACTAGTTGTTGATAAACCAAACCAAAAGGAGACTCGGAGTTGGGACGGAAGGTTTGGTAGGTGACTATTTATCTAGGGCATTAAAGCCCATGACATGCCTTTGCCCGACCAAAACTTAAAGACCATGCAGTTGTTATCGCAAGAAAGAATGTTTGCTATATAAAATTATAATAAAATAAAATAAAATAATATAATATAATATTATAAATAAAATAATATTAAATAATATTATTTTATTTTTTATTTGATGTATGTAATGTTTAGAATAGAATAATTTATTTATTTGTTAAAATTAAAATTTTTAAAGTTAGAATTTAAATTATTAATATAATTTTAAGAGATAATTATATATGTAAATTTAATTTTAAAGATTAAAAATAATCATCTTCATTTAAAGATGATAGAATCATGTTATGTCAAAAGAATAATTAATCTTTTTTAAAATTTTATATTTTTTTAAAATATAAATTAAAATAATATAAAATAATTATCATCAGATCATATATACCATTCTACTATTATCTTATACATCAAACATATCATTGAGTCCAAAAATCAACATCATTTTTTATATTGGTAAACTCTAATAAAAAAAGTCAGTAATATAATAACTTTAAAAGTTATTTTTAAAATTAAAATATTAAAGGATTAATGAATTCGTACTTAGATTTTACTTGATATGATGGATAAAAAATAAAAAAAATTAAAGGAAAAAATTAAAAAATTAAAAAGAAAATTTTTTATCCATTATTTGGTAGAATTTAAAAATAAAAAAATATAATTTTATCATTATAATTTTTTTAAATTAAGATAAAAAATCTAAAAATTATGGGTAAATTTGTATATAACATTTACTTACACCTCTCTCATCTTTTTTTCTCTTAATTTGAAATAATTTATAATTATAAATAAATGTGTAAAATAATAATCTTTTATTTTCTTTTTGCTTACTTTTCTTTTTTATTGAACAAACTCAAAATTCATTTTTTTTTCATTTCTTTAACCATATCGTATTCATCTTTTTACTCTTTTACTCTGGCAAGCACACATTTAATTAAATTGATTTGTTTAATCATTTATATTTTTTATCCAAAATTACAACTTCGAAATCTATGTAACAGATATAAATTCGAAACCTATCCCTTATAATTTTTTTATCCAAAATTATAGCTTCTTTTAGTTCATATCATGAGTTTCATAGGTTTAACTTTTAATAATCAAGTTTGAACAGATTAGAACCCAATATTATACTCAAACTTCTCGCTCAGTGTAATGCGTAAATGTGTAAATGTGGAGGGATTGCTAAAGTATGGAAGATATTTCTTGGATGATCACTTGAATGAGTTGCAAATATTTATTAATCGATTTTTGGCAGATGGCAGAAGAGTTTCTAGAAATCATTCTTTTGAACGATTCTATGAGCTAACATGGCTGTTAGATGGACTGATGATGATAAGTGTTCATGGGCCAGGTCCTCCAACTTTTTATGTAATCAAATCCGTCACCATAGGGCTGGTCCATGTACTTTCTTTTTATATATTAAAAAATAAAATGATTTTTAAATTATTAACAACTATTTTAATAATTTTAGCAATAAATTTAAATAAAATATTTTATTATTAATAAAATAGTAACTTGGACTTCACTGATATATCTGATGAGTGGTCCGATTCATTAATAAATTTAATTAATATTATCTGTCAAATACATATTTTATTTTTTATGATATAAATTTTACGTGCATTATTTAAAAAAAAACCTTTTCATTTTCCCTTATAAAAAAAAAAATCATATTTATCAATGATGAATACTCAACGAGTAAAAACCATACTACTAATTCCTTTCATTTTACTCGAATCATAACCAAATATTTTGATGAAAATTTAAAAATAAAAAAACATTTCTTTTTTATCCTCACAGCGGCAGAATGCAGGTACAATTATTGCATAAACAAATCGAATCGCAGTAAGACACGTGTACAGAATACATTGGCGAGCCAATCAAAATTAAGTCGTCGAACTCAATGTCAAAAGTCAGCGAAACGTTTAAAAAACGGCGATTAGGAAAACGCAGTTGTCCCTATAATTTTCCTTCTTTTTGGAAAACAAGACCCTGGGATTTTTCTCATGGCTTACGTGGAGCGAGGTTTGGATCCTTTCTCTCCTTTTCTCAATTTTCCTTTTCCTTTTTTTTTTTTGGTTTCATAATCGTTTAATTTAGGGTTCCTGTTATGAAATCTTTTGTTTATTCGAAATCTGTTGCCAATTATTACTGTTTTTCTTATGATTTATAAGGTTTTCTTTTTCGGTATTGAGATTTGATTTTGTGAGAACCCTAATTAGTTATGGAAAAAGAAAAGGAATGAATTTTTCATATTTATGTTATCGATTAGATGATTGTGGATCGCGATTTCTTGTGATTTGATGCACATTGAGTTTTTAGTCTGTAATGCGATTATGAATTTTGATGGGAATTGTTCAAGTTTAGAACAACCTTGAATTTGTGGAACGTTTTAATATATGAATTTGACTGAGTTATTCTCATTATGCTGCTATTAAACAGCTGAAGCATAGTTTTTAGCTAGTCTTGGGCCTAGTTTTGCATTATGGTATGGTTCCGGAATTGTGGTTTGGGAAACTATGGTGAAATGGGCCCCCTTTCCACCCTTTTTTCTGGTAACATTTAAAATCAGTTTCAATGAGAAATTTGGAATCCATTTGAATTTGTGATTGCAGTCCAGTTGAACTCTAAACATAGATTTTTAACCAAATGACTCAATACACTCATGACAATGTTTATGGGTGCTTTTATCTGAATTAACACAGGTCATCCCCAAAATTTCCATGGTTCTTTAAAACTCTTCTCTTTGAAATTTCTACCCTTTTTTCCTTAAGAAGATTCATTTTTTTTTTTTAAATATCTTGTAGAACCCATTTCACTAGCGTCTCTACAGTTTGTGTGATTTATTGCCTCTAGTGGATGATACTGGCTAAAGATGTGATACTTGAAGACAGTTGTTTCCTAATTCCTAATGCTATTATGAATTCAAAACAGGTTCTTTATGTTATTCCACCATTCCACATGCAGTCTTAGAGAGCGCATGCGTGTGTGTGTGTGTGTGTGTGTGTGTTTGTGTGCTGAAAATTTGAAATAGGATGTAGTTTTATTTGATTATCTGTCCTGGCTTGATTGATTGTGAAAACTATTAGTTATATTCTTAAAATCTTTGCATAGAGTTTATGGCTGACAATCATAGCATAGCATTCTCGGCTGCATCAATTATTTGGATACAAGCTATGGAATATTGCCTTGGTGATTGCAAAATTGGCTTGTTTCATCCCTTTGGCATATTGCAAAATACGATGGAGGCTTCCCCTCTCTTCATATTATATAAAACATTTGATCATGTGTGGTTGTTCAGGTGTTGTTAAATCAAAGCGGTCAATATGGCGACTAAGAACCATCATTGATTTCTTCTGGGCTATTGTCAATTTCATAGGAGTGTTTTTTTCAACCATGTTGTCGGTAGGATTTTCATTTTCCTTTGTCCTTGGTCAATGTGTGATTTTTTTTTGTTAATCTGCATCAATAAAATGGAAACTTGAATGTTATATGTGCATCAGATGGAAAAGTCGGATACCTACAGTAAAGGCTCTGGTTCAAGCAAGAAATGGGATGGTGGTCCAGGAGGACCTGGAAATGGACCATATGGTGGTGGTGGTGGCCCACGCCGACCACCTCGTGGACTAGACAATGTTCGAGGAATCGACCATAGTATGTGCTTTGCCTTCTTTGTTTTCCCCTGCTAGGAAACTTAGACTATCTGCTGTTTGTCACCTGGGCATGCTCCTCTTTACCCCATTAATTTGTCCACTAAAAGAGTTTTTTTTTTTTATTTTCCCGGTGCTGTATTTCAGGTTCCCTTCCTGCCTGCGGCTCTTGCTGTGGTGGCTAAGTGCAGCATATTTGTTGTGCATTGACTGTTATATCTGAAATCGTCTTAATCTGTGTAAGAACTTTTTAAGTTGTTAATGTCAGTGGATTTCCTGTGAAACAGAGAACTTTAAACCTCTATAAACCAACAATGCTTTTGTGTAGTCTTAAACTTTCACCAATATATGTTGCTACGTGGTGGGCTGATAGCTGTCTCTCTAAAACTGGTCGATTTGGTTTTCTCAATGAACATGATTCATTAGTTTTCTCTGTGGGTAAACTATGTTTTGAAAAGATTCATTTGGGATGTCAAATATCTATTATTAGGTTTAGATTGTTGGGAATTTACAAATGCATGCTCCTATGATTATAAATTAAAACAGGAAAATCCTTTGATGACTGTCCGTCATTTCTTAAATGAATGGCGGCCATGAGTTTTGATTGTGACAACGGATACAAATTAATCCAGTTCATGCTCATATTTCTTAGGGACAACAGGCTGGAAAAAAAAAAAAAAGAATTTATGAGTGGTTCTCCTTAGGGGGATACATTTTAAATTCAATATAAATCTTTGCTGCAGTTAATCTTATCTTGAACAAAAAAAATTGATGTAAGGTGACAATTTTAGTCATTAAATACCAATTCTATTCTTGAATGTTTACAGAAATAGATTTTTAAATCAATAACCTAGAATAAATTTTTTCCCAATTATTTTTCATCCAAGAATTTGGACAGCTCATGGCTTTATCTTATGTCAACTGTCATTTAATCGAGCAAACAGGAGAAAGGACCCAATCTTAATACAATTGACAAGATGTGAGCCTGGGTTAATTATGCAGGCCTAATCCAAACTCAAATTCCGTCTTCATTTTCAATTAACCATCACCCTTTTATCATTTAAAAAAAAAAAAAACTCTCACCCTTTTATAATTTCTTTCCGTCATTTTTTTCTGAATAAAATATACATAATTTGGCGTCACTTCTCTCTCTTTTTCCTTTATATTTTGATTAAATTAAAGAAAATTGGTGAAGGAACTGTCAAAACGGACCCATTTTTTAATTTTAATTTTTAATTTTTTTCTTTAATTTTTCTAAATAAATATTTTCATGAAACAATTATAAAATATCAATAATCCATAATCACTATTAAATTAATTATCACAAATAATCACTCGAACTACCAATTGATTGCTAAGAAAAAGCAAGATCTAAATATAAAAATTTTCATTTATGGTTTATAATAAATAAAATCTTAAAAATATAAAATACATAAAAAAGTTGAAATTATTTTATAATATTTTGTGTGTATTAATTTTGCTATTATTTTTATGTTAAAATTATAATAATTATATTAAAAGTAAAAAAAAAATTGACAACAAATATCTATCCGACGTAACGAGAGCCAAATTCTACTGAAGATTAAAACAAGAATAAAAAAACATTAAAAAAAAATTTAATAATGAGGCATAAGATGGAAACATTATTTTTTGTGCTTGCGAAGTTGAACAATGAACACAACAATCAACAACATAACTTCTGAAAAGTTCATTGAAATTTTAGTTGGATTTTGGTTAGTCACATGACTTGCAACGTATGGTTTTTTTTAACTAAGATCTAATTAAGATGTTTAGTTAAAATTAATTAAATTAGTATTTAAATAAATTTACTTAATGTATTATTCTTACCAAATTAGCATAACTAATGCAATTTCTTATTATGCAGATCCGTCCCTGCTAGCAAGAAAGAATTCATGAGTGAATGAAAGCAGTAATAATTCAAGACTGCGATGGCCGTAACCCCAACCTTTCATCATGTTGCTCCCAAGACCACTACTTCCCCTTTTGTTGTCGCTCTCAAGGACAGATCGAGCCAAAGTTTCAATTCAAGGGGACCAATCCACCTACACACTTTTTTTTTTTTTTGCCAAAAGATAAACTTTCATTTTATTGAATTGAATTTACAGAACAGTCAGAACTCCACGAAACTTACAAGACAAAACAACAACGTACACTTTAATTATTCTTAAATTTTAATTTTTTATTTTTTAAAAAATTTATTTAAAACAAAAAATTATTCTACTATTGTATTTGCATTTAATGTGCTTATTGTATTAAATGAAAGGCAATTTCTATATATTAAACAAATGAAAGGCGACCCTATGCTTGGGCGTGGATCACGTCACTCCAATAAAGAGCATGAAAGTATCGACCGGTTCTCTGTTGTGGACGAATCAAATTACTTGAAGCCACTACTGCATGTATTTATGACCTATATATATATAATGGCGAAACCGTTGCAAATTGTGTGAAGCTGTTTTAAAACATCTAGGAAAAAATTGAACCAAGGGTGCTGGGGAGAAATTAATGGAGGTGGAGAGAGTGCAAAACATTGCTAATTTGTCCAAAGAAACAATCCCGGAAGAGTTCATTCAGACAACAAGTGAGCAGCCAGGGCTGACAACGATTCAGGGGACCGTGCTCGAGGTCCCGGACATCAATCTCAGCAACCCTGATGAAAATGAAGTGGTACAAACAGTCGTGGATGCGAGCCGAAATTGGGGATGTTCCAGGTTTTGAACTATGGCATTCCTGATCACGAGACCATAAGGAAACTGCAAGAGGTTGGCAAGGCTTTCTTCGAGCTCCCACAAGAAGAAAAGGAAGTTTATGCCAAGCCTCATGGATCTCAAAGCATTAAAGGCTATGGAACAAAGCTTCAAAGAGAAAGTTGAAGGGAAGAAAGCTTGGGTTGATCATCTTTTCCATAAGATATGGCCTCCTTCTGAAATTAACTATCAGTTTAGGCCTAAAAACCTATTTTCTTACAGGTTTAAAATCATCATTTTCCTTCACATATATATTTGCATGCATGTATAAAGATTTACTCAAATTTCTTCAAAAAAAAAATGATTTATTCAAGATTTACATGCATGGGGTAGTAGACAAGCTGTTTAGATGCCTTTCACTAGGTTTGGGGCTGGAAGGGCATGAGATGAAGGAGGCTGTGGGCGGTGAAAACTTGGTCTACCTTCTCAAGATCAACTACTATCCGCCGTGCCCTGGCCTGACCTGGCTCTCGGCGTGCCGGCTTACACCGATATGTGCTCCATCACCATACTGGTGCCCAATGATGTGCAGGGCCTCCAAGCTTGTAGAGATGATCATTGGTATGATGTCAAATACATCCCTAATGCCCTCATTATTCACATCGGTGATCAGGTGGAGGTATGTTCACTGATTTTCAACTTAATTTGTAGCTCAATCATATTTACCTTATGCACCAATATTAAATATTTGACTTAATTATTTATTATAATGCCCTAATTTCATCATTCGAATACAATTTCAAAAAAAATTCTTTAAGGAAACTAATAAGTTTGTTGTAGTATGTGTAAAATTAATATAATAATATGTGTACGTAGCATTGTTTTTTTTAATATATTTAAAAAATATTTTCTTCTTTTTTATTACTTATAAATGGTGTGACTGCAAACAATATATATATATATATATATATATTCTGTTTTATGGAGATTCACCGAACCTTATGTATATAAAGAAAATAAAAATTTCTTATCTCATAAATAATCTCACACTTTCCTTTTTCATGATTTAAATATGAGATCTTCAAATTAATTTATAACAATTATGATATTTTCTGGGAACCTAAATAATATAAAATTTACTTTCTTGCTTATCATTCATGTGCTTTATTAATTTAGCAAAGACATGTACTAAAGCTATTCTAACTTAAATGTAAGTGTATCTTTACCTTAAATAATACATTAATTTTTTATAATAGCTCCTAAAAAGTAATATATAAATTTAGAGTTTAAATTTTAATACCTACAATTTTTTTTAATCTTTCGATTGTAATATATTTGTATATATATATAAAAAAAAAACAATGCATCAACTTCATTTTTGTTACCTAGCAAAAGCCTAAATTGGATCAAGTATATTTAGATTTAGTTTAGCATTGTTGTTGTACTTAAAAAAAAAAAAAATCCTCATATAAGAAAAGACCAAGTCACAAATCAGCCTAATGTCAGAATTATCCAAATCTATTGATATCATGAATTTTGTTAGTGCAAAAATTAAATTTTCATTGTTCAATCAGTTTATATAGATAATTAGGCTGAAAGGTGATAGGAGATAGAAAGGACATATATATATATATATATATATATATATATATATATCAAACCTTCCACTCAATCATAAATTAATTTATCTCGTCTATCTATAAATACTTTTATATAATTATAACAATTAATTAATTATAATTTCTTTTAGGGATGAGAAAAAAATTTAAAAAAAATTTTAAATTAATTTAAAATCGTAGTATTCGATGTAGATTAGTTTTTTTATTAAGTTCATATTAAATTTGAATATTAAATATATATATTAAATTCGAATCAGATTTTGGATTGGGATATAAAAAATTGAAAAAAAGGAATGGAATCAAATTATATATTTTTATTAATTTTTTTATATATTTTAAAATTTTATAATATAAAAATAATTATTTTATATATAAATTTATTTAAATATATTAAAATAATATATAAAACAAAAAAAATCAAAATTATAAAATTGTAAAATCGAACCGATAAAATTTGATTCAGATAAGATCGATTATAAATAAAAATCGATTCAAATTCAAATCAGATTTTAAAAATTTATAATACTATGTATCATCGAAAAAATCAAATGCTGTCACTCCTCTCTTCGTTTCAAATTAATCAATTTTGATTTTTTATAAATATTAAGAAAAATATTTTATCTTTATTAAAAGTAGTATGTCATTCTTGGGAAAATCTTCAAAATTATTCCTCAAATTAGATATTTTTTGGGTAGATAGTGAGCAATGGGAAGTACAAGAGTATGCTTCACAGAAGCATAGTGAATAAATAGCAGACAAAAATGTCATGGCCAGTGATCTTGGAGCCACCACCAGACTTGGAAGTAGGGCCTCACCCTAAGCTCATCAATGAAGCTAATCCACCCAAATTCAAAACCGAAAAGAACAGTCAATATTGTTACTGCAAGCTCAATAAGATCCCCCAGTAAACAAACAAAAAAAAATGCAGCTTAAGCTTCCAATGCATTGCAGGAAAACAATTGCAGTATCAAGGAAATTAATCAACGTGTCTGTATTGAGTTTTCTATGTTGAAATTTCACTCTAGGTCTAAACCCCAAAGTAATTATTGTAGTATTATATATTTTTTCATATATTTCTTTCACATCCAAGACTCTTAA